GAGAAAAAGGGGGGGGTTTTGGGGGGGGTCAGAACCTCAAAGAACTTCCCCCTGGTGTCCAGGGGACAACCCCAAGGGTAGGTGTCCTCTCTGGAACTCGGAGACAAGAGAGGACACCACCAGGAGAGAGGGGACAACACTGGGACAGAGAGGACACCCCCCAGGAGAGAGGGGACAACCCTAAAGAGAGAGGACCCCCCCCTTGTAGGGTTTTTTGGGGGGTCAAAACCCCAGAGAAGGTGGGGGGACACCCCTAGGACAGAGAGGACACCCCCCAGAAAAGAGGGGACACCCCTGGGACAGAGAGGACACCCCCAGAAGAGAGGGGACAACCCTAAAGAGAGAGGACCCCCCCCTTGTTCGGTGTTCCGGCGCGGGGGGGGGGGGGGGGGGACACAGGGGGGGGTCACCGGGGACATCCCAGAGAGAGGGGACACCCCAAGGACAGAGGGGACACCCCCAGGAGAGGGGGGATGTCTCTGGGGCGCAGGGGAACACCCCCAAACCAGGAGGATGTGCTGGGACAGAGGGGACACTCCTGGGACACCCCCTGGGCAGAGGGGACACCCCAACGGATTTGGGGACACCCCCAGGAGAGGTGACCCCCCCAAGGACAGAGGTGACACCCCCACAGGAACTTGGGGACACCCCAAGGACAGAGGTGACACCCCCAAGGACTTGGGGCCACCCCAAGGGACTTGGGGACACCCCCAGGGACTTGGGGACACCCCAAGAACAGAGGGGACACCCCAAGGACACAGGGGACACCCCCAGGGACTCAAGGACACCCCAAGGATGTGACACCCCAAGGACTTGGGGACACCCCCAGGACAGAGGGGACACCCCCAGGGACTTGGGGACACCCCAAGGACAGAGGGGACACCCCCAGGGAGTTGGGGACACCCCCAGGACAGAGGTGACACCCCAAGGACAGAGGTGACACCCCAAGGACAGAGGGGACACCCCCATGGACTTGGGGACACCTCCATGGACTTGGGGACACCCCAAGGACAGAGGGGACACCCTAAGGACAAAGGGGACACCCCCAAGGACAGAGGTGACACCCCCAGGTACTTGGGGACACCCCCAGGGAGTTGGGGACACCCCAAGGACAGAGGGGACACCCCCAGGCCAGGTGACACCCCCAGGGACGTGGGGACACCCCCAGGGATTCGGGGACACCCCCAGGACAGAGGGGACACCCCCAGGAGCAGCGTTGGTGGAACCCCAGGGAGATGTTGGGGTGGGGGTGTGTGTCTTGGGGGGTGTCCCTTGTCCTCGGGGTGTCCCCTGTCACCCCAGAGGGGGGAGGTGACAACGTGGGGGGAGGTGACAATGCCGGGGGGGGTGACAGTCACCTCGGTGCTGAAGGTGAGGTCATAGCCCAGGGTGGAGACGTCGTTCTCCAACAGGTAGACCAAGCCCTGGTAGAAGTGGTAGTCCTCGCTCTCCATGTCCGTGTACCTGCACCCCCAAACAAAAAAGGGGGGGTCAGAGCCCCCAAAATGGGGGGTTAGAACCCAAAAGAGGGGGTTAGAACCCCAAAACTGGGGGTCAGTGCCCCAAAACTAGGGTTCAGCACCCCAAAAAGGGGGTCAAATACCCCGTGAGGTGGTTCTTCACCACCAGAAGGGGGTTCTACAACCCACTGGGAGGTTCAGAACCCCCAAAAAGGGGGGTAGAACCCCAAAAAGGGGGGTTAGAACCCCAAAAAAGGGGGGTAGAACCACAAAAAGGGGGGTTAGAACCCCAAAACTGTGGGTCAGTGCCCCAAAACTAGGGTTCAACACCCCAAAAAGGGGGTCAAACACCCCGTGAGGTGGTTCCTCACCCCAAAGATGGGGTTCTACAACCCACTGGGAGGTTCAGGACCCCTGAAAAGGGGGGGTAGAACCCCCAAAAGGGGGGTAGAACCACAAAAAGGGGGGGTTAGAACCCCAAACCTGGGGATCAGCACCCCAAAACTAGGGTTTAACACCCCAAAAAGGGGGTCAAACACCCCGTGAGGTGGTTCCTCACCCCAAAGAGGGGGTTCTACAACCCACTGGGAGGTTCAGAATCCCCAAAAGGGGGGGTAGAACCCCCAAAAAGGGGGGTAGAACCACAAAAAGGGGGGGTTAGAACTCAAAAGAGGGGGTCAGCGCCCCAAAACTGGGGGTCAGCGCCCCAAAATTAGGGTTCAACACCCCAAAAAGGGGGTCAAACACCCCGTGAGGTGGTTCCTCATCCCAAAGAGGGGGTTCTACACCCCATTGGGAGGTTCAGAACCCCCGAAAAGGGGGGGTAGAACCCCAAAAAGGGGGGTAGAACCCCAAAAAAGGGGGGTAGAACCCCAAAAAGGGGGGGTTAGAACCCAAAAGAGGGGGTCAGCGCCCCAAAACTGGGGGTCAGCGCCCCAAAACTAGGGTTCAACACCCCAAAAAGGGGGTCAAACACCCCGTGAGGTGGTTCCTCACCCCAAGGAGGAGGTTCTACAACCCACCAGGAGGTTCAGGACCCCCAAAAAGGGGGGGTAGAACCCCAAAAAAGGGGGGTAGAACCACAAAAAAGGGGGGTTAGAACCCAAAAGGGGGGGTTAGAACCCCAAAACTGGGGGTCAGTGCCCCAAAACTGGGGGTCAGTGCCCCAAAACTAGGGTTCAAAACCCCAAAAAGGGGGTCAAACACCCCGTGAGGTGGTTCCTCACCCCAAGGAGGGGGTTCTACAACCCACTGGGAGGTTCAGAAACTCCAAAAGTGGGGGTAGAACCCCAAAAAAGGGGGGTAGAATCCCCAAAACGGGGGTTTAGAACCCAAAAGAGGTGGTCAGCGCCCCAAAACTGGGGGTCAGCACCCCAAAACTAGGGTTCAACACCCCAAAAAGGGGGTCAAACACCCCGTGATGTGGTTCCTCAGCCCAAAGAGGGGGTTCTACACCGCACCAGGACGTTCAGAACCCCCAAAAAGGGGGGGTAGAACCCCCAAAAGGGGGGTTAGAACCCCAAAACTGGGCGTCAACACCCCAAAAAGGGGATCAAACACCCCATGAGGTGGTTCCTCAGCCCACGGAGGTGTTTCAACACCCCCCAGAGGTGGTTCCACACCCTACAGGGACATCCTACACCCCCCGATGATGGTTCCACACCCACTGAGGGTCTTCCAACACCCCATGGAGGTGTTTCAACACCCCATGGGGACATCCTACACCCCCTGATGATGGTTCAACACCCACTGAGGGTCTTCCAACACCCCCTGGATGATGGGTCCACACCCCACGGAGGTGGTTCAACACCCCCCAGAGGTGGTTCCACACCCTACAGGGACATCCTACACCCCCCGATGATGGTTCAACACCCACTGAGGGTCTTCCAACACCCCACAGAGGTGGTTCAACACCCCATGGAGACATCCTACACCCCCTGATGATGGTTCAACACCTGGTGACGATCTTCCAACACCCCACGGAGGTGGTTAACACCCCACAGAGGTGGTCCAGCACCCCACAAAGGTGGTTCAACACCCCATGAAGGTGATTCAACACCCCGTGGAGGTGGTTCAACACCCCACAGAGATGGTTCAACACCCCACGGGGACATCCTACAACCCCTGATGATGGTTCAACACCCCGCGGAGGTGGTTCAACACCCCACAGAGGTGGTTAACACCCCACGGAGATGGTTAACACCCCACAGAGGTGGTTCAACACCCCCCAGAGGTGGTTCCACACCCCACGGAGACATCCTACACCCTCTCATGATGGTTCAACACCCGGTGAGGGTCTTCCAACACCCCCCAGAGGTGGTTCCACACCCCACAGGAACATCCTACACCCCCTGATGATGGTTCAACACCCACTGAGGGTCTTCCAACACCCCACAGAGGTGGTCCAACACCCCACGGAGGTGGTTCAACACCCCCCAGAGGTGGTTCAACACCCCCCAGAGGTGGTTCCACACCGCACAGGGACATCCTACACCCCCTGTTGATGGTTCAACACCCACTGAGGGTCTTCCAACACCCCACGGAGGTGGTTCCACACCCCACAGGAACATCCTACACCCCCTGGATGATGGTTCAACACCCCACAGAGATGGTTCAACACCCCACAGAGACATCCTACACCCCCAATGATGGTGCAACACCCTGTGAGGGTCTTCCAACACCCCACAGAGGTGGTTCAACACCCCCCAGAGGTGGTTCCGCACCCCATGGGGACATCCTACAACCCCTGATGATGGTTCAACACCTACTAAGGGTCTTCCAACACCCCATGGAGGTCACCCCCCCCGCCGTACCCCCTTTTTTGGTTGTTTTTTAGCGCGTGTGTGTGTCTTTTCTCACCGGACAGACTTGCCCAGGATGTGCTTATAGAAGGAGCGGGTGAAGTAACACTCAAGGAGCCGGTTGTCGTAGACGGCCTTGGCCACGATGCGCCCCACGAACTTGAAGTAGCTGAGGTGGTTGGGGTTGCAGTGGGAGGAAGGGTTGATGGTGTAGGTCACCCTGTCCCCCGGCGAGGTGCGGAACAGGGCGTACATGGGGTTGAACATCTCCCGCGAGATGATCATGTACCACTCCCGCAACAGCCCCCCCGCGTCCTGCCCCTCCTCGCCCTCGAACACGATGTACCTGGGGGGGGGAGAAGAGAGACAGAGGGGGGTGTTTAGGGGGTGTTGGGAGGTGTTTGAAGGGCCTGAG